CAAGGTGGGTGATGGAGGCTGAGTGACCAATAACCCTGCAAGTCTGCCAACACGGGGCCTTGGGCTCTCCTGACCTCTCCCAGGATGAATGAAATCCAGCTTTATTTTATTCTCCCAAGCAACAATCCATTGCACTGGTGTTGTAGCTTCTGATCTATGGGAAAGGAGGAATCGAGCATCCAGGAAAGACCCAGGGCAGACTCGATCCTTCCAGGGTGCTCCTGATGCAGCTGTGCCAACACGGCCTCCATGCTTACCTGGCGGGGACACAGTCACCCGCTCCCGGGATGGTGACCTTAGGGACAGTGCCGCTGGTGAGAGGATGCGCAGAAATGCAAGCTGGAAATGACGCGTGAGCTGAGCTGCCAGCTGGCGGCAGGCTGAGCTTAGTGGCAGAGGGTTATCTGGCAGGGAAGCGCAACCTCGGCAAGCCAGTCACAATGGCACTGGCAAGAGACAGGTGCAGCACCAACGCGATGCTGCCTTCGAGGGACGCGTTCGCTGGCACGTCCCCTGAGGCCTGCGCTCCCCTGTACTGAAGCTACCCCGAGGCCACGAGGATCACCCTTGCCAAAGGGGGAAACTGAAGCAGGACAGTCCAGCAGCTCAGCACTGCTCTCACAGTGACAGGGCTGAAACGGAGCAGCAGCCAGTTCCCAAAGCTACTTCCCCGGCATTTCTCCAGAGAGGGGAAACTGAGGCATGAGGCAGGGACAAGGGCAACCCTCGAACAACCACCAAATGACCAAGTAACATAGAGCACCTGACTCCAGTGTAACACTGCCCAGGGCCACAGCATGCAGGCCACGAGGGATGGCTTGCCCAGCCAGGCAGGTGACGCAGGGGCCTGTGCTCTCCATGCAAGGCGGGCAGGATGGAGGGCGATGCCATGACCCTTCTCCAAAAAGAGGCTTTCAAACATCCTTATGTAACCAGGGAGCTGGCATCACCCGGGGAACCATTGCCATGGCAATGGCAGAGGGGCCAGAAAAGCATCTCGGTTGCTATTGGGAGAAATTGCCCATTGTAAAGAGTTTTTTTTTTTTTTTTTTTTTTTTTTGGCCCCGGTCAAGTCCCTTCCAGCCACATTCAACCACCAGTGCTGAGCAGAGCAGCGCCCCCCTCCTGGCTGGGGCCCAAGGCCCCCTGCCCACCTGTGACACCCCACACCACCCCCCAGGTGCAGAGCGGGGCTCAGTCCTGCACAGCTGCAGCTCCTGTGCCCTCCGGCCAGAGGCAGCAGTGTGCAGTCCTGTGCACCGGTGCCAACTTGCTGGCATCCACCCGCAGCAGGGGCTGGGGCAGCCGGCAGCACCCATCCACCCCAGCCCTGGGCTTACCCAGTACCCTTCCCCAGCCTGTGTGGGAATGGTGGCTCTCCTGCACAGGCAACACAGTGAGGCTGAGCTGCCCCAGACTCAGGGAAGAGAGACATCCTCTCCTCCACAAGGTGCATGGCAGGGTCCTACCTTCCAGTCCGTGTCCACGGCAGACAGGAACACGTCCGAATTCTCCTGCAGGGGAAGAAAGGGAAACTATTGGAGTGCAAATGACCGAGGAAGGGACCCTGTTGCCCAGGCAGAGCTTGCAGCCTGGCTTTGGTTTTGGGGCCAGAACTCACGTTCTGCTCTGGGATCAGTGCACATGGCAGGCCGGGGGCTGGACATGCGGCCATCTCTGGGGTGTGGGACGCCAGGCTGCAACGCAGCACTCAGCTGCCCACGCAGGGATGGGGCGACGAGGACCCTTGGACACTCCAAGTGCCCATGATACCCCGATACATGCACACACATCCACGCACACAAATGTCAACATCACACCTGCACACAAGTGCATGCAATACCTGCACATGTGTGTACATGCACACATGCATGATACCAGAACGCATGGGCAAAATACCCACTCACATCACACAATACCAGAATGTGTACACACCCACAATGTGCCCTCAATACCTGCACACTTGTGCACATGCATAAACCCAACATGAGAACATGAGCACACATGTACATCTGATATCAGCACACATGCAGACATATGCACTTAATACCTGCACATGTGTGCGCACACACATGTGTGCACCTAATACCAGCACACACCCGCTTATTCATACACCTGCCCCTAATATCAGCACACGTGCACACACACACACACACGCGCATGCAATGAATACCAGCACACGCATGCACACAAGTGCACCAAGCACCAGCCCATGCGCACACATACATTTGCACCCAATAGCAGGACACGTGCATACGCACAGACACTTGCACCCAACTTCAGTGCACATGCACAGCACGTATGTGCATGCACACACACACACACACACACACACACACACACACACACACGTGTACCCAATACTACAAGATACGTGCATGCACACACACACACCCGGAACCCCAGTTTGAGCAGAGCTTGTCCCAGCACCACTGCAGGGACTGGTCTGTACCTGTCACCCACAGCGCAGGCACCCATCCAGGTACTGCTACCAGGAGGAGGCACAGCATGGAGAAGGGGCAGCAGGACTCCTCAGCTGTGACACCCCATGTGCCGCTCTGCAGCCAGCAGACCTACCCCCAGCATCACCGCCCCAGCCCAGCGACACAGTGCGTGAGAGATGTGGTGGGGCAGTCACGCTGACACCTGCGGCACCACACCCTGGCTGCGGGCTGGCCCACGGGAACCAGAGCCACTGCCAGACTCACCAGATCAGTGTCCTGGCCTCGCAGCAGCGGCTTCTCCTCGGTGAAGCGCAGCTCATGCAGCCCCGCCATGGTCATCTCCTGCAGCAGCAGCCCTGCCCAGGGGAAGGAGATGTCAGCGCCCCATAGGTGCCCAGCCTTGGGCCCATGGGGCCCCCTGCACTCATGGACCCCCCTGCCATGGGAGGCACCTCAAGGCGATGCTGCTCCCTGAAAGGTGGGACACATCCCCTCAAGTCCCTGAGAAAGGGTCTGTTGCAGGAAAGCAGGAGCCCGAGGGGCTGTGCCAGCTCCTCCAAGTGCTCAGCCCAGGGCAAGCACGGCTCAACTCCCCTTCAGCTCCCAGCACTGGCCTGAGAGAGAGACAGCAACTTTTTGGCTAGCAGACAGCCAAGGGCAGAGGGAGATTGCCCCGCATAGCCAGGACGAGGAGTGGCATCTCTCGGCTGTGCTGGGAGGCAAAGGGATGCTCTGAGCAGCAGAAGCGATGGAGCACAGAGAGGGCCTGAGGCTTGTATTGCAAAGAGGGGAGCAAATCAAATGCAGAGCCTTTACCCCTTTACCCTGCCTTTTGCTTGCCTGCAAAACAGGCTGGCTGGCCAGCAGCTCAGCCTGGGGCTTGCGGGGATGAGCTTTGCCTTGGAGCCGCTGCTCGGAGAGATGGGCAGCTGAAGGCTGCTGACTGGGGTACTGGGACTTCATTTGCCCATCTCCAAAAACGCCCCAGACATGAGCCCTCACCAACTCAGAAAGCAAAGCCACGCAAACGAGGGGATGCCTGCTCCCTCCGCAATCGGCCAGCTGCCCACAGAAGGCGATGGAGACATGGGGGAACAGGGATAAACCTGTACAGTAAGTGGGGGGGGGGGGGGACAGGCAGGTCCTGGGGCAGAGGAAGGACGGATGCTCCCCAATTGGACAGGATCAGTCCTGGACCCTGCTGGTGTTTGTCATCACAGCCTCCATTTTCACTGCTTTCCATGAGGCCAGGCTGCTGGCCAAATTCCTGGGGCTCTGAAGGGCTGAGGCTGGTCCCTTGCCACCTCTGCTCACCACCCACCCACCCCTTCATGATCTCCCTGGAGATGCTGAGGGACAGGAGAAGGATTATGAGGCTGTGCAAGCACCCCAGCAGACACAGACCCCCTGCTCCATCTGCAGCCCCGGGCAGGTGTGCTCCACGCTTCAGTCACCTCTGGCCCTGAGACAGCCCGGCTGGAGACGCTGAGATGCAGGGCAAGGAGCCTTCGCCCCTGCCCCAGGCTCCCAGGAACATGAGAGCTGGGTGCAAGCTCCCCGCAAAGCCCGTTTGCTCTCATCCAACTGGGTTTGCTGTTCAAAACACAGGCAGGCTGTGCCACCTGGCTGCTTCCTGCAGAAACTGCACTCCGCCTGGCTCGTTGGGAGCAAGCCAACAAACCCGAACTGTTTCAGCAGCGCTGACGTGAAGCCTCCAGGGAGTCCCGGGGCTCCCGTCTGAACCGCCCACGCGCTCTGCAAGCAGCAAGGTCCCACCACACCCCGTACTGCATAAGCCCCAGCGGAGAGGGGTGCCGACGGCTCTGCCGGGACGCACGGCTCGAGGCCTGGCTGCCGCTGGGGAAGCAGCTATATGGGGGGGGGGGGGGGCCCAGAGTGAACCCTCAGCTGCAGCCTGCCAGCACAGCCGAGACACCACAGCCTGCGGAGCCAGCACCAGCAGCGACCGAGCAAGCCCTCACCGCCCAGGGGCACGATCCCAAGGAGGAAGGGTTAAAAACGAGGTAGAAAATCAGCCTCACCAGTAGCTGGGTCTGGAAGAGAGCAGGAGCGCCGGCACCACTGCCCGCACCTCCTGGCTGCACCAACCCACCCGGTGGCTGCGACCTGAAGGCAGGGCAGGCAGGCGCGTTTTGTTAATGCCTTTATTAATTAAAGCCGCCAGCTGATGTGGGAGGGCGGGTGGCTGAGTGATGAGGAAAGGCCTCATGACCTTGCCTGCGGGGTGGGGGGGGACACTGGCTCACAGGGGAGATGGGCAGAGCCCCGCGCCAACCAGCATCTGCAGGGTGGTGAGAAAAAAGACCTTAAATAGCACCGAGCCTGGGAAAGAAGAAGGCTTCGCCGGCCCTAGTGAGCCCAGCCTAGAGCCTAAAGGATGTGGAGAGGCCCATGGGAGCAGAGATGCTGCCAGTGCACAAAAGCCACCAATAGCTGAAAGCAAGGGGATAAACCAAGGGAAGGATGGCACTGTGCGGGCCTGGCACTGATGGCCGCGGACGGAAAGGGCTTTTGGGCTGACCTCCTACAGCTGCAAGAGCCAGGCATTGCCAGTCTGAAACATCATGGCTCCATCTAAAAGAGTAGCTGTCAGCACCCAGCATGGGCACTGCATCTCCCTGCCCCGCGGGGTGGCAGGGACCTCAGGCTACGGTTGCTGGCACTCCTTGGGGCCGCCTGTGCCATCTCCAGCAGCCTTGCCAGCCAGCCACGCTGCAGTGCTGTGTTTCCCAGCCAAAAAGACTTAAAATGGAGACTGGGGGAGAAGTAAATAGCACTGGGCCCTCCCATCGGCCCCCAATGCAAAAGATAGGGTCTGTGGCTAAGGTGGCAGCTGCTGCCACCCCATTAGTGGCCCTGGGCAATGCTGGTGGGTTCAGAGAGCTTGTAACGGAGCCTGGAGAGGAAAGGGCAACCCAGACACACTGCGAGTGGGAGGGAGGCAGTGAGATCCCGCAGACAGGGCACAGCCAGCCTGGGTGCTGGTTGGGGACCCCTCTCTTGGGTGCCTGGAGCGGGTGGTGGGTGCCCTGGCAGGCCTGAGCCCACTTCTCGAAATGCAGCAGGGGGAGCATGGAAGCACTCCGAAGGGGGAGCCTCATGCACGCGTAGCACTGTGAGATGCAGCATCTGCCACCAAGAGGTTTGGGACATTGAGAGGTCCTGGCTGTGTGGCTTGGGCATCTCTGCAGCCTGGCACCGTGACACACCAGGTGCACCCTAATGCAACCATGGGGCACGAGCGATCCCGTCCCATGCCGAGGCAACATAGCTGGGAAAACATCCTTTCCCCCCACAGCTTGACCTCTGAGAGCAGGCAGCACCCACTGTCTGGGTATGCTCTCACCCCCCACAGACTCGCATCTGCCCCTGCTCTGCCTTCCCAACGCTGTGCCACCATTTCCTGGGCAGAGTAGGAACCACCTCCTCCAAAATCCCAAATCAATCCCAAATAGAGCACGGCACCAGCCACCTTCCATGCTAAGAGGACGTCAAAGCAAGAAACTCTCTGCACCCTCGTAGGCCATTGCAAGCAACAATTTAAGCCTGCAGCTGCATCCCAGGCTCTCACAGTATGTTAGCTTGAGCCCTTGCAAACATCCAGCCCTGTGCCTGCATCCTGCAAGGATAGGCTCTAACTGGGTGCCAGAAAAGGAAGAAAAACTTCCTTCCAAAGGGGAAAGGAAACGGCTCCCAGCGGGAGGGGGAGAAGGGCCGAGCAGAGACATAGGAGCTGCACGCAGGACCCCACTGTGCCCAGCGACACACAGACCCCCAGACAGGGCCACTGCAGCTGTCCCTGCGGGCTGTGCTGTGGCATCAGCCCACCGGTGCTCTGCCCTGACATGGTCCTGGCATCGCACACGCAGATGTGAGTGGAAATGGCCACGCTGGCTCCCCCTCCCCAGGGAGCTGCAGCCGAGCGGTGCCTACTGGAGTAGAAGCGGCTTACGGCAGGGAAATGCATTACTGTTATTAACATTATTATTAATAACAGCACACACAGCCAGCTGCGAAAGCACGTGTGGGGAAGTCAGCTGTGGCACTTCAGGGCGCCCAGCTCTGCTGGCCTCAACTCCCACGGCTGCCTCTCACTTACCAGGGCTGCGACTATCAGCAACAGCCCCGTGCAAGCGGCACAGGGAGGAAAGGACCTCGGCGAGCATCGGTGAGAGCTCAGGGCATTTTACAACTGCGATGAGAAGCCAGGGAGCCCAAGGGTTGCGCTGGCAGAGACGTGAGACCCCACTAGGCTGGGAGATGAGGCCATGTCGATGCAGGGGGGGAAGCCAAAGGCGATGCTGGGCCTGGCGCTTTCGGGGCTCTGTGTGAAGATGCCGGCTGTCTCGGCAGTGGCTGTTGCTACGAGCAACCTCCTCCCCAGCCCTGCTCCTCAGGGCACCAGGAAGGAAACAACACAGCAGCTAGACACCCCGGGGAGGCTCGCGAACAGCAGCAGATGCTGCCTGGCCCCACGCGGGCCGGAGGCTGCACCAAAGGGATGCTCAGCGGCCCCATGCACACCCAGCACCCTCCCCCAACATGCCATGCTGGCTGCCCAGCAGAAAGACCCCAGCCCGCGGGACCCCCGGCACCAGGAGGCTGGTGACACAGTCCCACCC